GCTCAGCTTTACAACATACCACAAAAGTCATCGATAGCAAAACTGTGGTTGCTATGCAGTTGGAAAATTTTTTCAATCATCAACCTATTCAATACAAAACAAATAAAAAAAAGATGCTCGAACAATACTTACTTCTCTCCTAGTTCTGATAAGAAACAGTCAGGTTTCTCTGTCGCCATGAACAATAAACGATCCAAAACAGCAGTATTAGAGATGAAGTCTAACAATCCAATGCTTTTGAAACATTCCTGAAGAAAACTTCTCGAGGTGCTTTTATTATCACTAACTAGCTTTCCTGTCTACTCCAGTTCCGGATAGTGGAGAATTATGCAAAAGAGCACTACTACCGAACTAAGGGGAGCAATTCTGTCAATAAAAACCATGCACACATCTCAGCTGCGCTCTCTACGCATGGACTAAAATTGATGACACATTTCTTGAGGTTGCAAATAGTGAACGACTTTCAAATGCACATCAAATATGAAGAGAAAATCAATTTCATCAATCACCTTATTCTCTGCAACTGTAATCGCCTCGTTGAAAGTTGTAAATCCGTATGAAGCAAAGTCAACTTGAGACAGTACTAACAGTGTCGAGATAAGCAAATCATCAGCTGTTTCAGTAATAAGTGATTGTAGTGCTTTCAACATAATACTAGAAAGCCAATGACCGGCGGAGGAGCACGGAATGAACCAGAAATTAGCCTGAAATACAACTACAGGCTTACGCAATGCTGAAGTTTCAAAATGCTTCTGAATTCTGATGGTACGAGTGACATCAGGAAGGGAATAGGTTGTGAGGAAAACAAACGTGTTACCTCTTTGGTCGCTCCACCATCCGTAATCGCGGGATCCAACGTCCACCAATCATTTTTTACAATTTCTGGTAGGAAATCTATAACCGATTTAACTACTGCAGGGGCGTTGCCAAGCTGAAATAGTATTTATCATAACTGCTTTCCCATCATATTTTCCTGAGGCGTCCTTTCCGACTAAGCCGTGGTGAGGCGGTGGCAAGCGGTATTGCTACTCGCACCCAACCCACTAATCAATTAAAGGATAAAAGACAAAGTCTTCGGGCGTTGATCAATCCCGTCAGAGGGATGCACCCCGCACTCGAATTCCATTCAGAATCGTAAACGGCGTAATGAATACGTGCGTGGCCTACACAATGATTTTACGGTGGTCAGCCGATGTACAAGTCAAGACACTTAGCCTCCCAAACGAGTCTGGTTCCAATCAAATGACGCCGAAGAGGTGAAAGGCATGGTTGGCCTGATCGGATATCGATCCGGGATTCGACCCCGTGAACATACGTGAGTGATAGTGTGCCACTTGCCACTACGCCACCTCCGCCCTTCACTAATCAGTTACTGAACAAATTTAACATAACTTATGGTGCAGGCTCAAAGCCAGCTACCACTCTGAATGACAGTCAAACACGTGGAGCATGAATTATACTCCCATTTAACTTAACCTAAACAGTTCGCTTTTGTTAACAAAAACACTAACGCCTGAAGTCTCACAAAGTTGGCGATTTGTGGGCAAAACTCCAGTCTCGGACGGGACTCGAACCCGTGCTTGTCCTTTCTGACTGACCTTGTGAGACTTCCGCTTCGCGGACTGCGGCGTAAAACAGCAGTTAACAAAACATCAAGTCAAAACTAACGCCTGAATGTTACAAAGCCGAGCGCATTCTTCTAATAGTTTTGGATAGCTCACTGAGACTTTACGTCTAAAATGAAGTTGTCTTTTGCGCATTAAACTTCGACTTTTCATGTTGCAAATACGAGTAATCTAAACATTTTTACCTGGAAATGAGCTGCAACTATCGCCGCCAACAGTTGTGGTTTGCGTTCTTTTCCTTGCGCCAACTCCTGCAAAACGTATTGTTGCAATTGAGAAAGAGAATCTGTTGAACCGAGCAAAAGACAAAATGGTATAACAACTAACCGATGTGCAGAATTCAATGCATTTATCATACTGGCGAGTGTATAAATAGCAGTTTGCGATGAGGTAGAGAGTATCATCCAGCCCTGAAAACTCACAATTTTACATAGAACATCGCATAGTTCCGCTTGTTCCGAAAGTTGAAAAGAGCATAACCCTAACCTTACTAACCTGCTAAATTAGAGGCGTGACGAAAATCGGGAGCTAGTGGAGACAGCATATGACATAGAGTCGCAAGCGAGTTGAATACCCCATGTCCCATGAACTAAATTATCAATTGTTACACAAGTAGAGCAGTTTTTTATATAAAATTATCTCCGATAAGATTCCACAGCTTTGGATCATGCACTGAATTGCTTCAAACAAGTTGATGTGCACTATAAATGGTACATTTTGCCGTAGAAAGCAGTTATAGTTAAGACTCGTGAAGGATTTTGAAGTGAGAGCTTGATCGTTGGGAAAGTCTTTGGTAACAGAGCACCCTCAAATTTCGCATATGTCCGGGTGAATAAAACGAACACAACTACTCATCAAAGGGCAATCGCTGTAATTTAGATTTCGTGGACAACTCATGCCCTCAAAAGCTTCGCTAGAAGGAAGATGAAACAGGCCTGGACCAAATGAACGCACTCAAAAAAAGGAATGGTCACAGACTGTTGATTGGGGTTAGGCTAGGAGAGGTCCGTTTACCAAAAGTTAAGGACGCGCACAATTTCATGGGCAGCCCAGTTGGTATACCTATGAAACCGAAGTACGAAAAACTCTCGCTTCTTCGAATCACTGTAAACTTAGATAACTTACATTTTTACTGTGCTCAAAATCAGTTTTGAACTGTTTTTGACGTGTTGCTTTGAAGGAAGGAAGCCACAACAGCAGAAAGGAATCTGAATGAATGTAGACGATAAAAAAGGACGGTTTACATAATGCTATCAATTTAATTAGAAGTTTTAGAGATAGATTTGTGTGTAAGGAAGGGTTACGGCTGGTATTATAGAAACAGGCTAAGCTGTTTTCACGAACCCGTAGGAACAAGGACTCGGAAAACTTTTATTGCATGGCAGTTTGCCATTTTGCTCTGTGCCACTATCATTTTTAGCTAAGTCCCGGTCGGCTTACGCTAAGTTCCCTTCCTTTCTGTAATGAGGTTGAGATACTCGGTTGATCCGTTCTCCATTTCAGAACAAATGAAGCAATTCTGATCAAAAGTTCCCGGAGGGATAGCCGGAACTGCGCGGAGACTACATATTGTATTTGACATAGAGCCCTAAAGGAGAGGAGCTCAGCACAAGCAAGCGAGTAAGCTAATTATTCAATTGAGATACTTACTAGGGAGATTAAAAGCCTCGTTACTGATACTGTCGCCTTTCTACCAACCAGCTCAGGCGTTTCGCTTATCTTATAAGACATCCAGGGAAGAGGACCATAAAGGGGAGTTTGACACATAATTACAAGTCGATAGTAGTGATGACGATAAAACAGTTGACTAGGCAACTCCCAACCGATGAGCACTTTAGCTGCTACCCACTGGATTGGTCTTCGATGGGAGCCGTTTCAATTTTAGTAGGTTTTTCAAGAGTAGATCAGATCTGACCACCTACTCCATGTTAGTGATGGCATTTTCAGCCTGGCAATGCACAAAGCGTAAGTGACAACACGAGTAACTGGCGGTGACCATTTGTCTAGCAGGCTGGTTACTATTTTCTCCAAAAGTACACCCGAGCGTTCAACTCTGAAAAATACATTATCATAAATGGGCGAGAGGCCAAGTCGAAATCACTAAAAAAAACTCGAAGGATCACATACTTTGCTCCAAATATTGGCAAGCCTAGTTTGGCAGTCACTGCAGCAAAGAAAGGGTACGTGAGGCCAATGAACTTGTTGGCATTTCGATCACACTTTTTTCTGGTGTCTTTTCTGAAATCTTTGTGTGACGATGATGCTTCCTGACGAATTGTAAATTTTGGGTGACGATATTCAGTTTATTAAAGTTCAGTAATCACACAAGAGCTGTCGGTAAAAAATGAATCTGACCCTACTTGACAGCTTTTGAAGTAGCCCACCGATTGAGATCCAAGGGGGAACCATTACGGTATCAATCTTAACTGCAAAATTGCTGGCAAGGGTGCAAGGTCAAATGTCATGCAGGGTTTAAGACAATGGGATTCCGAAATTGCCGCGATGCTGCAAAGCGAGAGCTGGGGACGCTAACACCCACGGGTGGAAACATAGGGACAATTTTTTCAAGGCCAGACGTCGGAAATTTTGTTTTCGATTGCAAGAGATCAAGCTGCAGGACAACACGCTAGAGAGTAATTTCACTGATTCCAATAACAAAACAAATACCAATAACGTACGTGTCGCCAACTACATTCGTAAGCGAATCACGGAATGCTGATCGAAGAATCGCATCACATACAAATAGAATGTCGTCCGGCATCAAATTACCGAAGTTCATAGTCAACAAGGAATTCCCGAACGCAACTGAAACAAAATTAAATGATAAATTTATGCCTGCTCGCGGAAAAAGGGTTCCTGAAACTACTGTTTTTTGAACTCTATGATACAGATAGCTGAAAGCTGCCTTAGGCAGGAAGACCCTTGTAAAACTGGCCAGAAGCTGCTGCACTCTACCCGGAACCCTTGTTGGCAGTAGCTGCCCCGCGGTAAACACCGCTGCAATATCGTTGATACAGTGGAGCGCAACCAACATTTTATACTTTTGCTGATGGCTACTGGCCAGTCAATTTCATGTACAGTGTTCACACTCGGTGATGGTTCAGTTCCTTGAAATTATTGAGAGCTCGTCGAAAAACGACGGATGGTGCACAACCGAAGAGCCGTGCGGGCCCGCTAACATAACCCAAGGTTACGTAGTTGAGTTGGTTTCCTCAAAACCTTGTGGGCTACGAGTTCTGTGCTGCTTTCACAACGTGTATCGAAACAATTCATTCCCAATAGCGCTTCGTAAGAGTTTGAAATTCGTGACATAACTTACATAGACCGTGCGGTGGTTCTGGTGACTTGTGTAGAGTATCCATGAGAATTCCCTAAAAATTTCGACCAATAATAAACAGAAAGGCATTCAAGCAGGACACTGTACATCTCAAATTAACAAAAGAACAAAAAATAGAACCCACTGAAACTGCGTTAAATGCTTGTGGGCGCATTGCTAAGAACGCTAGCAGCACCGCAGAGGCTTTGCTAGGACTAGCGTCCGCTGCTTTCCGGAAAAGAGCCACGCCTTGATCTGTGTCATAGTTTTGAAAAAAGCCTAGAACAATTGTCAATTCTATAGAATGTAGAATGCAAATCGGATGTTGAGAACGCCGACTGGAACGATTCTATCGAGACAACTTTGAAGGTCTAAACAGTGCTGAACAGTGCAAAAAGTCGTTTACATTCGGGAGTAGTATCAAGCTCCACTTTGAAAACTGATATTCAATACTCACATCCATATCTTTCCATATTTTCCACTCCTCTCTGCTCATATTCGTCAGCTACCATTTCTATGACTTTGAAGATAAAATCACGATTATCCCGTACCCTGAAGAGCTCAGTGAATGGCATTTTCAAGTGGATTCCAAAGAAGAAATGTTACTGACACCTCATTCAAGTAACTAATAGCGTCATCGTACTCTCCAAATTTGACTTTCATTTGTAATTCGAGTAGCTGAAACACACAAGGTTGAATCAAAAGTAAAACAATCCGTAAAACAATCCAGTCTATTATGTCGTGTAAATACGGCACAAAGTATCTACCTGTTTAAACTCCTCGCTAATATCTTTTCGAATCGCTGAAATCATAAGCATGCGATAGCGTGCCGTCGTATAGTTGTCCGACATCAAAACACGACTCCGCNCTCTCCAAATTTGACTTTCATTTGTAATTCGAGTAGCTAAAACACATAAGGTTGAATAAAAAGTAAAGCAATCCAGTCTATTATGTCGTGTAAATACGGCATAATGTATCTACCTGTTTGAATTCCTCGCTAATATCTTTTCGAATCGCTGAAATCATAAGCATGCGATAGCGTGCCGTCGTATAGTTGTCCGACATCAAAACACGACTCCGCAGATCTGAAGCAGGGTTACGTCTACACCATTTCTAAGGCTACTAAGCAGAAAAAACTTCTTCACAAGTGACTTCTTCTTCCTGAGCTTGTAATAGAGATAAAAAACACTTAGGCTTAAGTCTTGACGCAATGGCTCTTCGGAGCCTTGAAAGACCAGGGCCATTGAAGAAATCATTCGAACTTACTCTAACCTACAGAAGAAGTTTGAAGGGTTACTGATTTCGCAATAGTAATTTACGTCCCTTTGAAGTTCCTTAGTAACTTCTCATGGTACTCAATCGAATAGTTCCTTCGAGGGCTTTTGTGTTTACGACCCAGGAAGAAAGAGAAGCGTAAGCTAAATAAAGATTTCAAAATCTCGACTTCCCAGCTCAGGAAGAAAAACTTACAAGTGAAGAAAGAAAAATGCCGCGATTCATCGAGTGTTGAACTTAGGCATTTGATTCTCATGTTTTTTAGAACTCTCAACCAAGATTTCGCTTCCGTTTTGTAAATTACAGAGCTTCCAAATGGGATGTAGCTTCGGACTTACCATCATCTTCACCTTCCCATTCTACTTCAAATCGTCTTCTCTTTCGTTCCGAGTTCACAGATTTTGACATGAAGAAAAGTCTTCTGGAAATCCAGCTAGGCTGAAGGACAGCAATGAAATTCCTGTTGCCAACATTGATTTACCGTATACAGTTATTGCAAAGTTTCGAGATGCTCCAAGTTTGAAAAAAGAGATAATGTTATCTTAAGCATAAAGTGAAGCAGATCAACACACAGCTCAACCATTCAAATAAATTTTTNTTTTTATATGAAAATTTAACACATAACAACTGATTCCGAAATATCATTCCACGTAAACAAAATGCAACCGGGGAGGAAGATATCGATTGGAAACAGCTAAAACGAGGTAGATCCAATCGACATCATGAGATGCAAGTACGACTTCATGTAGAATGCCCCAAAACATGAGGGTTCTATGTTCAGAGAACAAAGGAGACAAAGAGACCAATAAGGAACCTAGGGCATGCATATGCAGAGTCACACTGGCAATGCAAACGAAGGAAAGTTTATGTACAAATAAATATGCTGCGAATAACGATTTGGATCATGAGTTGCTGAGGAATCATTAAGTAAAAAAACAAGTACAAAGCTCAAAAACGCTGAACTTGAAGTATACACTAGTATCACCGCAATGAACTACTGAAACACAAAGTCCAAGTGAAAGAGATTCGAATGAAAATCGTACACAGAAGAACTTGATTTAGCAACTCGAATTCATTTTAGATTGTTTGTTATATTATAACCTCTTAAGAGGGTCTTCCACTCGATTGTAGATGAAGATGTATCCGACTGACGATGAGTTATCTATCACTTCAACCTCGGAAATCTGAAATACAAGTGGAACCTTTGGTAATCTTTACTGTGGTCAAAATCCAGAAGCATTTCCTTTTAACTCTGCAGCCCAGCTTATTTTCAATACATAGTATAAAAAGAGGAGCTCATAAGGAAGGATCGTCAATTAAAGCGCCCATCGGGTGATGCGACTTATATCCGCCAAGTCTGCGGATCTGCCTATCAAATAACACAACGATTTGCTAAGCGAACTACAGCGTTTTGACTACAAGTTAACCGCAGAGCTGAAGCTGCCATCTTAAAGTGGGAGGCAAAGGGGAAGCTTGCTTGGATGTTGGCTCTCGAAGAGGCTTTACAATGAAACGGAAATGCTATGGACACAGAAATCCGCGCGTACTATACAAATCCGCACCCGTCCCATATACGACGCAACGAAAATGGACATTGGGCAAAGAATTGGGAGCTCAAATTTCCTGTACAGTCAGTAAAAATTCATGTTCCAGTGACTCCAAAACGCTATTGAACAACTTTGTAATCCTCCTATTTCAGCTGCGTTCACATTGGTGCACACTCCCTTATCACCCATGACTGACTTCTCTTCCCTTGCTAGTCTCTTGTTAATTGTTAATCCTCTGGTCAGCTTTACCTACATCCTCCCGGTATTTGAGCTAATCTCATTTCCAGTTAGAAGGCCTTTTGAACTTTTCACTGCGGTACAAATTCGGAGTGGACAGAGCTCCTGGCACAGATTTGATGTAGCTTAAGTATGACCTGTTAATTTTGGGAATTTGACCATATACGTACGAAGCATTTTACGTTAGTGGTTGACATTATTACAACATGATGGTGCAGGTAGAAACTTGGATTAAAGAAAATGCAATATATCTACTTGAAATAAATGAAACCAAAGGATACCTTTGTGATTGTATTGTCGTTACAATCTAGCCACTCTCGTCTTGTAGCATCCAAAGCGAATGTGGAATAGTGACCTGAAGGTAGAATAAATAGTATTCAAATGTAAGTTGAACACTACGTTCCTTGTAGCAACAGCTATGTAGAACATAGATTGCGATTACAGGCAAATTGCATCATAAAAGGCTAACCACTGAGTAACGAATCTCCGTGATGGCATATGACTGCCGCTAAAGAATATACAGGGCCGTCTGCCGAATTGAACACGTATGGAGGTTCAGGAGTACGTGGCGGTGTTGTAGACTCCTTGAAAACAAACTTCAATTCCAAATGAAATCAAAGGTCCACTGGTCTTACCTTCACAACTTCACGAAAATCTTTCCGAGGACGCAAATTCCTTCTCGACTGAAATAAGTATAATTTACACGGATAGATTGAGAGATGCAAAGAATACGTGAACGTCAGAAATGTCTAATGAAAGTATAGAAGAAACAAGCGGAGGTGGTGCAGTTACAAAAGACGCACTATCACATAACATAGCCTTGGACCAAATAACCGGTCGATATCCGCCTAAGTCAAATAGGCCTTTTCAATTGGTACCAGGCTCATCTGCGAGAATAAGAGCACTGATTTGTACATCGGCTAACCGTCGCGAATCATTGTAAAGGCTTCTTCGCATTCAAAACGCCACTTCGATTTCAAATGGAAGTCGAATGTGGGGTCATATGCAGAAACGGGATTGATCAACGCAAACACTTTATATTTTACCCATAGAATGAACAATGGGGAATTGACTCACATTTGAACGTTCCACACTAACAGCCGGTTGGAAATGACATCCGCTGGCGTTACATATGAAGATGGCACCTCTATCGTCGGTGCACTCGTCCCGATGCAAAGCTGAATTGAGATGTGCAGGAGAGGCTATGGTAACCAAATGACTGCTTGCAATCACAAACGTTTGCAAAACCGAATAAAGTATGCTTCAACTTACTGATTGGAGGACTGCCGTCCATACTCCATCGGAAGAGAGGGCGATATTTCAGCCATTTTCCCTCAAGGAACGTATAAATATTTACTCCAAGCCAACAAGCTGCTGCAGCCAATTCAACTTGAGTTCCCCACTCGCCATCTTCGGACATTTTTCTTAAAATGTCAGCAATTCGATGAACATTAAGATAATTCGACAAGAAGACCGCGACCGATGCAACTTGCGAGAATATGATGTTTTTTGAGATCATATTCTCGCAAATTCTCACCCCTTTCAAGCAACTTCTGACCCCACATTCTAGTCCAATCCTACCTTCAATTCTTTCTTGGAGACATATATTTCTCGGTACCCCAGTTTCCGGGTTTCTTCGCCACTCTTGCGCTAATCTGGGCTAACACTTGCATTGCTCGTCTAATTGTAAGACTAGATACTCTTAAATTATCGTGAACTGTGCATTTAAAAGGGGAATCGGTATTTTTGCGATTGATGTGAAGTGTTATGGGGTAGTAAATTGTAAGCAACGTAAATTGATAACATCTGATAGTGGCTGATCAGGAAAGCAAACGACAACAGTCTTATTAACGTGCTGTGCTCTTCGTAATGACAGTTGATTCTTACATTGTATCAGGTCATGCGGAGAGTGAGCGATGGTAAATTGTGGGTGACAAAAAGTGCTAACCGATGGAAGCTATTAATTGACATTAGAAAGGAATAGCCTACGCTTTTCATGTAAGAGGTAAAACATTGCTACTTCAGTATGGAGGTGTGGGGCGGGCTTACAATCGTCTATTTTATGTTCTATCTCACCCCCTCACTCTATCTCACGATTACAGTAATGCGAAATCATCGACTGGAATCTAGCTTCAAGTGTAGCTCGAGAGAATAGAAGAGAAAGGGGCAATCAGCGAAGGGGGTAACTAAGCCCAAACTTATGAGGGGAGTTCGAAGATAGGAAGAAAGTGAGAGCGTTCAGTTTTTCTCTGAGTGGGAGCTCAAAGACAAACTGAAGGTTTGCGTTCCAGACTGCTCAGTACCCTATTCCTCACTACCAACTCTCATCCAAAGCAGAATTGAGGGAAACTAATTCATCTTATAGCTCATCTTGTATGACAACAGAACCTGCGATAATCAGCAGGGGCTGAACTCACTGAAGATGTGTCTCCATATCCTGTTGACTCGGAAGCAGGCTTGCGAATTTTGAGCGATACTGCGACATAAAAGCAACCAACTAAAGCAATTGTTATCGTGTTCGTATACACAGAACACAAAATAAATGAAAACTGAACAGATGCAGTTCACCTTTTCCCTCAGTTTGAAATGATCCTTCTCATTTCCGCCGGTTAACCACCAACACAAAGTACGAAACAAGCAGTTGCCGTCACCACGAACTTCGCAGCTCAGGGGAACATCTCGCAGCGAAAATTCAATTTCACGCCCAAATGTTCGCTTGCGAAGTCTGCAAATGTGATGAGTAGGAAAAACAAAGAAAAAACAGTTCATGGTAAAAGACCAACAAAGAAAAAACAGTTCATGGTAAAAGACTATCTCAAAGTGGAAGACTTACTCAGGAGAGCCAGTATACTTGATTCCTAGCTGCGAGCACCAGTACTTTTGGCAGTCCTCTGTCACTGGGCGGAAAACCAATGTAATCCTTTCCTGAACAGAAATCAGACTCTACTTTCACAGGAGCGAAACTGATGAGTGGTTTGCCGAAAAGATCACCTCATATTCACCAAGAACGGAAATTTGTTCGGGACTTTGAAGCGGCGACTCAACACATCTACTCGAAGACGGCCGAGAATGTGGCCTCAAAGGCTCGGTGATCAAACGCGCATAGGATTCGTTTTCGGTTGCGGTGTTTGGTTTTGAGTGGCCATACAACTCCTGAAATTGATTTCGGTATAGTTAACAATGAAAAGGAATTATAGTAGATGCTCATATGTGATAAGACATCTGGTTCAGATATAAAGCACCCGCGTCTGTCACTTCCTTTCTTAAAATTCGATGTCATCTGAAGAAAAACATGAAGTGGTCGGATCAAGTTTGGGATCAGTTGGGCACCGGGCAACAGCAACAGGGCAAATGCGAGCCCGCGTAGCACAGCCAACGGGGCGGGATATACACCGGAATAGGCGGTGCCTTGGGAAAGACTTCCTGCCTCGGTTTCATAAGAGACAGATACCGAGAGGGCATGGGTAAAGGTGAGAAATACACCGGCAAATAAAAAGATCTACACGCAGTGGGCGAAATGCCCTCACCGAGGAGGGGAATTCTACAAAAATTCATAAATCGATTAACGAAAGACTGCAGGCAAAAAAAGGTTGAAGGGCTGAAATAGCGAGCCTCTGCCTAGTGTCGTAGTATGCACGCAAATGGGAAGTGCTAATATAAATTGTTTTCGAGAACGTCCCAGAATCTGACAAGAAGTGGATGGAGACCGTTGAAGGAAGGATGATCCATTGCCCTTCTGGACTGTTCGCGCAAGTTATGGGTGAAGCTAAGATCAGAAGTATATGAATGCTTCAAAATATTCCAGCATCCTAAAAAGGGCTAGGGGAACTGTGGTCAAATCTTCATAATGAGCGGAGTGGAGGGCGGAGCCTGTATATGTCAGTATTATCCGAGAAACACCGATTCAAATGTGTGATGGGTGAAGCATGAGTCTAGACAAAAAATGCGTATTTGAACTTGACTGAGCTCTACATTCTGAGAAAAGAACAGGCACATGCTACGGAATAGACGGTGCATCGAGCAAAACTTCTTCATTTGATTTCCAAATATTTCAGATATGGTGAAAAGTGAGCAGACGTGAGGAATGGGCCANGGGTGAAGCATGAGTCTAGACAAAAAATGCGTATTTGAACTTGACTGAGCTCTACATTCTGAGAAAAGAACAGGCACATGCAACGGAATAGACGAGCAAAACTTCTTCATTTGATTTCCAAATATTTCAGATATGGTGAAAAGTGAGCAGACGTGAGGAATGGGCCAACAAGTGAAACGAAGGTGAGACATTCGCAGAGGGTGGCACCCTTAGAGTAGACATCTTTCAACATTGACCTGTAACTCGATTCGCTCGAAGTCTTAGACCAGATCGTGGGAAGCGAGCTCAGTTGGAACGTTCAGAACTTCGTTCAAAACGTTCTTTTCGTGATGCAAGTGTGCAGTGTGCGTGTGTTAGTGTGCCTTGTCCAACTGGTGAAGGGCAAAATGCTCAAAAGAGACTAGTCCTCTTACGATGCTTCACGTATTTGTTTTCTATTCAAAACAGAAGATGCATGAACCTTCCCTCGCTCATGAAACCACAAGCCTTTTAGGTTTTTTTTTCTTAACCAGAATTTTGGACCCCGGAAAGGAGGAAGAATTGTAGATGGTTGCGATCAAGAAAATGCGTTATTGAAAAATCGTACAAATATCTATCAAAATTTCATCAAAACTACCTCGACTACACATCTGCGGTGCACTCACCTCATTTTCTTCAATATCCTCAACGCGAGATCGCTTCGTGGGTACATCCTCTTTGTCAGTAATCCCTGATGTGCTAACGTTTCGCGTCAACTGTTGTTGAGCCGGTGAAGCGGTAGCAGCACTCACTGCCTGCAAACAATGATGCAAAACACTGTGTGAGGGTTTGAATCAAAAACTGTAACAAATACGTGAACAAAGGAAATAAATTACCCACATTTTGGCCTTCAGATGAAGCAGCTCTTCTCTCGCGATGCGAATCTTTCTAGAAAATATAAGATGCTGATTGTAAACAAAAAGAACGATATTCAAGTCTTCAGCAAATCACGAACCTCCGTATCTGGTGAATTCTCCTTCAAATATCCACCGCTCTGCTTGACCAAACTGATGGTTATGTCCATAGGTATATCACTTGACCGGGCACATGCGACATTCTCTTTCTCCTATCAAGGTAAACTAGTGGCACATATCAAAAAATAGGAACTGCTCACCACTATCAGATTCTCATGATCGGCTTCTACTTCCGACCACTCTCAATAATCATTTTCTTGGGAAACCTCCAGAGCATTTCGCTCAAAAAGGTAAGAGCATTTCCCAACGCAAAAAAAAAGTCAAACGAAGTGGGTAAAAGAAGAGAAGTATGAGTTTTCCATAAGATAATAACACCCACTTTTTCTGCAAAACTTATGGAAAACCTCACTGCTCCCTACCTCCAGAAGCCTTCCACATACCTACTATTAAAAGTCTTTAACATAATATTATTACACTGAACAAACCGGATGCACGCCAGGAGAAGCTGATGTCACAACAACGTCCATAGCAGTTTCACCAACATTCAATACTTTGGTTGATGCTATCGGATCCTCCAGCTTAAACTATCAGTAATACACTATATTCAGAAACCTCAAAACCTCTAGTCCTCACTAATACCTAGCTTTCTTCATCGATATCGTTGATTAAACGACTACCACATTATACTTTTTTATATTTTCCCCTTACTGAAAGTCTTCTTGTACCGCATACGAAATCTATAAACTAGGTAGTGACAGCTCAAAGGACTCGTGAACTAGGAATAGTAGTATTAGAAATCACTTGAGTGCAGGTGTAAAGGGTTCAGAAAAANCATCGATATCGTTGATTAAACGACTACCACATTATACTTTTTTATATTTTCCCCTTACTGAAAGTCTTCTTGTACCGCATACGAAATCTATAAGCTAGTTAGTGACAGCTCAAAGGATTCGTGAACTAGGAATAGTAGTATTAGAAATCACTTGAGTGCAGGTGTAAAGGGTTCAGAAAAAGTAAACACGATACAAACACTGACAAAGTCTAAAGAGCAGAAACACCATACAACTGAAAAATGTTGTATTCAATGACAAACCTTTCCCACTTGAGCTAGGCGACGAGGATTCATCTTCAGCGGTGAAAGAGCAGGACGAGGTTGTGACTGCAGAGACAGCTCACTGACACCCCCAACAGTCTTGTTGAAAGTCTCAAAATAGAAGTTTTTGTGCCTTTCTTTGACTTGAAAAAAAGTGAAGAATAAGATAATATCTTTGAAATGAGACACTGAAGTGGAAGAAATGCACAGAAAACCTACCGATGGTGAGTGTGGAAGAGTGATACTTTTCTCTGCTCTCAACGGACTTCGAACAGTCTCAATAATCAGACAGTCGTCGCTCTCTTCCTGCTGAGCAGCTGTTAAGAACTTTCCAACCGCGGTGAAATCCTCTTTTCGAGAAGACACAGATTCGTTTTTCATGCCAGCTGCTGCGCTATCCTTCGACAGAGCCAGGTCTGGGGCCTCAGCATGGCCGTTCGGTTTCGTACCAGTGAAAGGAAACACCGAATTTGATAAACTAAACCAAGTTTTCGTCAAACCCAAAACTTGATACACAGAATAAGTCAAGCCTTTGTCACTAAAAATACTACCAACATATATAAATGTCTTGAACGCGATAAGAATATGACAACAAACGATTTTATAAATGGAGGTGATCACCTTTGCCTAGCCTTCCCTTCTTGCTTTTTCACTTCCGAATCGACGTACAGATCTTTGAGAAAAAGCTCTCTGCTAACACCAATCCTCTCGTCTACCTTGCTTCCACCGGCCTCTCCAAATCGATAGCGCTTCACAACTATGATAAGAGATCTGCAAGAAAAAAAAATACTTGCTCCAAAAATCGAGGCAGTTTAGGAGAAAGGACCGTTTACTTTTAAATGAAAGGAACAATGACAATGCTCTTGATCCTCAAGAAGCTTTCTTACATCATTCAATGTGAATTTAGGGGTTTCAAAGCATTGAAGTAGCAACAAATTTTCGTTGACTGATCAAAAACATTATTGAAGAAAATATTATAACACAGAATGATCATACTCCGGTAGTGTGGCGAAGGCTCGACTGATGAAACCTGACCCTGGACCACAGGTATCACACTTATACTCAATCTCTTCTCGTGCCAATGCATGCTCTATCATTTTTTGAATCGATTCACCAGCTCTAAATTTTTTAAGTTATCACTCCAACCGCAAAAAAAAAANAAAAAAAACACATGCGAACAAACCTCACTGTCACGGTGAGATCAATAGCATCGTTGGTCATTTCACTAGCACGCGCACATCGTTCACAGCCATATCTACAAAATGCACGTCCATCTTATGCTGAATCAAATATACAAGGGTTGTTCGGCATACCTGTCCCTAATTTTATGCTGGAAAACACCAGCAGGGTTCCTATTTAGTGACCGTGACTTTGAACACTAGAACAAGATTTAGAAATGAACAACACAACTAGCGAAGATTTTAACGGTGCACTGACCCCAGCCACAGAAGTTGCATCATCATCAGCTGCAGAATGGCTAAACTTCTTCCGACGCAGGGCCTCTTTTTCAAGTATTTCCAAGGTCTTGGCCAGGAATTCATGGGCATCCTGAAAAGCAAAAAGCTTCACTGTGATAGTGTGGATTATAAAATATTCAACCCCACCTGTTGAACATTCGAACCGAAATCCGGGTCCGAACCAAGTTCTTTCCCAGCCGCCGTTCTCAGTGCTTCAAGAACCTTGAAGAAAGCCCCAGAGTTACTATAGAAACGCGAAAGAATTGCTGATCATACCGAGATCTTTGTAGCAGATCCGTATTTGTTATCCAAAATTCGGTCTGGAGAAACAAGATTCTGCAGCACATCGTTGAATCGCCTACAAATGTATATACCTTGGATACTTCCATTAATGATGTAGAAAGAACGAAATATATATAGAGCTTACTTCACAAACTCGGAACATTCATATCCCTCCTCCTGGCGCTGGTGTATCACCTGCATGCGGTAGTAGAACGGAAAGACTGACGCAAGTGCTTGCAGTGTAGCGTTCATATAACAAGAATTTGTCAGATTCTCCAGTCTGAATATTAACGACTCATTCAACCAAATTCAAAAAAAATGATAACAAATACTTATAAGCGACCAAATGAAAGTCAAACCTACTCCACCGCAATACTTTTTTACCTTGTAACTAGAGTTTGGGTTTAAGTTGTTATCTTTCAGCCCAAAACTTTAGACTTGCTAAGGGATAGCGTGACATCGTTTTCTTACAATTTGGATTGGACACTCACCCTCTATAGGAGTATGGAGAAGGTTCAGATGTAGAAGGAGGCATGGACATAGTGAGCGAAGGAGAGCTCTCAGAAGCGTCGACTTCCTTTCTCTTACGACTTGGTGTCAATGCATCTCTGTAAAACAGAGTCGCTTTCACAGCCAGTAGAGGAGAGAAATAGCAAACAGATATGAACAGCTCGGATCGGTTTCACTTGTGAAACTACAGTTTAAGAACCATGCGCAGCAGCTTGCACTACAGAGATGTTGAAATGTACCTGCTAATGTGCTGCGAACTATTTAGAGAACCTTTGTTACTCGAAGCAGGGCTCAGAAGACATCGAGAAGAAGAAATCTAAAAATTAATAGACAGCGTGGTTAACCCACACACCTTTGACGACGACAAACACACGAATCTATTACGGAACCATACCGAGTCCGCCAAGAGCCGTGGTCGAGGACTGATGATGTCACCTGGGCGTCGCGGTGGACCAGGTCTGCTACTGCAAACAACTATTTCTTACAGATTACTCGCTTAATAGATGAATTCGTTGACTGGTTGAAATGGTATAGAGCTACCGTACATCGAAGGTGTTTTCGGAGTCATCGAAGGTGTTTTCGGAGTGCCATAAAATGATGTTGAACCGAGGCCGCTGAATCCTTTTACGAAATCATCATCTTCGCCCTAAAGCGTCTCATAAATGAGTACAAAAATGTCAGAGGTGGAGTAACTAGTAAATTACCTGATCGTGACTGAAATCGTAGGCTATCTTTCGCGCTCTGAAAAAGTCATGGTGATGAGCGATGGTGACAATTTAGGCGAAAAAAAAAAAANAAAAAAAAAAACAAATGAAATACTGCTTACAGCGATGAAGAAGAAGAATCATTGTAGTTACTTCTTTTTGTCTTGAAGGCAACGGTGTGTGGGCGAGGAGTGAACGGCGCTGTCACTTTGATAGCACAGCTTTCCAATGATTTCTTCTCCATAAGCGCTATCACACTTCCTTGAGTACCCAGTTCAGAGTTATTCGTCTTCTTGGCAGCTTCTTTAGGAGAGAGAACCTGCTCTTTGGTAACGGAGCTTCTTGAGCTTTCCAAAGCATCGTACTTTAGCGTTTTTTGATGAACTGGCTTCGAAATTTCCCCAGCTCCATTCTTGGCAAGTGCTGTGGAGGTGCTTGGCTCTTCGATGACATCATTTTGCACAATCTCAGTCCTGTTAGCTAACAGAGTGGCTGATCCTGAGCAGTTGATCTTCACACGACTGTCAATATGGTTAGATTGCTGGCTTTTCTGACTGGTTCGGCTTCGTGGCTTAGAGATGGGAATGCCACCTGAAACATTATGACATCGAAGACCAACGCACTAAAACCGAATCGATCAGAATTTAAGTAAATGGCTGTTTGAATAACATAGTGCTTTGAGTTGGTTGATACGCGAACAATCCATTCCAATTATATTTCCAAATACAGTAAACTTTGCACCGATTAACCGAGCAGGTAGAATGAACCGGTTGACCAGCATATTCAACTCCGAACAAACACGCATGTATTCCGTTTCACTTTTCGCTATCACCATCCACCCCAGTCATTGTGAGTAAGCATTAGAAATATAGCTAACCTGGCTTCTTACTCTCGCTTTGCTGTGGTTTCTCAGTAGTAAGAGACGGTGGTCGCCTGAAACAGCAGCACAACGTCGACGCAAACTTATAAAGCAAAGTAACGTAAGAAGCCATGAAAAGAGGAAAGAATAGAACGATGCTGACCCAACGATGTCTGGTCGACTACGTTTGATACTTTCTGGATGGCTACGCAGCATGCCTACTGGAGATGTTACTTTAGGCGGTACTTCACGATCCGGACCTGAAAAAAACGAGTCAGGACACTACTGAATCTTTAAATACAACACTTAAACAATGGAAACAAAAAACGAGTTAACGAAACAAAGTCGACAAACTTACTTGCTCCTTTCGGGAATATTTTCGCTAATTCATCATAAACATCTCTCATTTTTTGAGAAAACTCCGCTACACGAAAAACTAGCTTTCGCTTCCTAAACAAGTGGTACGAAAAATGAGTCGTGTCTTTCAACGAGCAAAATAAACGACAAGACAAGTGGGCACCTTCTATGATGCTTTGCTGGTAATTGTTTCGACACATTGAATTCAAGAGCGAATAATTTGGCTGTAGTTCTACTCGGTGGCTTACCCAACCGGTTGAATTCATTCGCATAGAATTTGTGCTAGAGTCAAAGTTAAACGGAATAACTAAAATGAATGTGTTAAATTGAACTATAACTGGGAAGCGGATTACCTCTTCCCCTCCAGCAGATATAATTTTGAAGGAGTTATCGCTTGTATCTACGAATAGAGATCCACTGAAATTTTTAACAGATGTCGTGTCGTAGTGTTCTAATGTGCACCTCACCCATAGTAAGTCCATCTGAACATCAGAATTGAAAACAATCATAGAAAAGATTCTAGAAAATTGGTTTAATCTCAATTGGTGGCAAAATCTTTCCAGGTTCTAAATTAGAGTTGAATACTCGACATACTAAATGCCGCAATGATTAACACTTCAATACGGAGCGGTTGAAGAAAAGAAAAAGTTGATATTCTTAAAATCATAATTTCGCGCAAAGTTTCGATACATTTTGGGATTTAGCGTTAACAACCGAGCTGCACTGGAACAAACGCAACAAACCAGAATTATAAATAGCCAGTACTGGTCATACAATAGAAAAACACCCGTAAGAAGTAAAAAATCAAGCAAGTCCTTAGCATTAACGAAAATTGAACTACGTCCTGCACTCACTATCAAATAAGGTTAATCTTGGGTCTATCCATAACGCAACAATGTTATTATACCAACATACCTATAAGACTGGCCTCAAAAGAGAAAAACTGTAACCATTTCAGGAAGAACGGTCCGTAGAAAAAAACCAAACTTGGCGCTCAAGCGTCCAACAATTTAAATTACATAAAGACCGTAATACACGCATTTCTCGCTACCGTAGCAATTTATTGAGGTCTACGTTGAGAACAGCGGCTTTCATACTGAAAAGACAGCAATATCATATGTTAGAGTCTTTTTGAAGAGAGAATAATGAAGTAAACTCCTAAAGGACCAATGTGGGTGATAAAGTCTATCTGTTGGTATTAACCAATACTTTTGAAGCGCTAGATATACAACCTTTGCATAGAACCTCAATGTTGTCTAAACTGGTAGTTAGTTCACTCCAAGGTTTAGACAGATCGAGAAATATTCGAGCCTCTTGTACAGCGACAGACGATACACTCTTCAGAATGAAAGCACAGATGAAAGCAGTTGCGTCCTATCATTTGAAATCTAGTGTGTTGATCCCATGAGCAATATGGTCACGGTTACAGCGATTTTGTACCCTACCGATTTTTCCAATGTGTTGTTCCAAAGAAGAGTTCTCGCCTACCATTTGCTCCACTGACAACCAATGGATAGTGACAGAAAAAGACTTGCAGGAGAGGTCACTTTTGAAGTAATTGCAGCAGTTCTACAGATATTTTTGATGTTAGCTTTGATTAAGTCAGCCAGCTACAAGAAATAAACAAAAATACAAGGGACAACACTTGCGCCTACCATTTCCGGCAGAGTTCAGCATTTCAAGTTCAGATTCCTAGAACTTGGATTAGTAAACCACCCATAGTCCTCGAATCTCTCACAATCGTCTCAAAGTCGCCGCTATAGCAGGCTAGAGCTTGGATGATCCTGAGATTACGATCTTACACTTGACATAATTGTGCCAACATGATGGCATGTAACTCGACGAAGCTCAATAATTTGAGCGGTTTAGCTTCCACGAAGAGCTTTCTCAATCAAGCTTGCAATTTAATTAAATCAAAATCATTGCTAATATAAACAAGATTTATCATGCAATTATAAGCTATCGACACAGATTATCACCCGAACATTAGAAAGAGGTTTACAACATAAGCAGTTAAAAAAGAGTGAATTAGGTGTAAGAAATACTAAAACAACACGTTTAGCTGGTTTTAGGAGCACAGTTTTCCTCATCTTTGAGCTGCATTCGACGTACAAATTCGGAAAGAGATCTGTCAAAATCAGTGTAGTCAGTGTAAACGACCAATTGCTTTCGAATCCACTTCGAAAGTCGAGCTGATGAGATCGTTGCTGAATAGAGAGAGAATTCGTCTTCATTACACTAGTCTACAATAATCTAATACTTACTCATGCTTTGCTCAGGCTTCGCCTGTTCCATCAAACGTTCGTCTATGAGAACGAGAGCACCCCAGTCATTTCTATGTCGCAGGCATCTTAATGCTGCAGTATTTTTCCGAATATAAATTTGAAAAATTAGTTTTCGAACCTGCCAAGGGCTTGGTTAAGCGCACGATAAGCTTGTGATACATACCACTGATCACCCGTTAGAAGAGATTTTGTTTTACAAAAGTTATCATTGTATGCCTTTTTCTCCTTAACCTGGAAAGTCAGTGATCAATATTCAGCCAAGAAGTTTTGAGATAAAATGACTGACAAATATACCATGTCATCCATTGCATTAGGAAAAGGAATTCCGACAGAAATGACAACCCGTGCGAGATCATCAGTGAAATCTATTCCTTCAGACACCTGAAAAGAGACATTCAAACGGAAAAAGCACTTTTAGAATTACACCTATTCGTAATTTGTCTCCTTGAAGGATCGACAAACGAAAGCTTCTGGACTATAGACCGGTCATTCTCTATAATCCCAGGAAAAGTCTGATTTATTTGGACTCTACCCTTTTTTGCTAATGGGCCTTTCGAATAACCAACCTTTCCGCGAAAAACGGCCAACATTAGTGCACCATCTATGTGTCGGCCATGATTGCCAGGGTTTCTCACTGCGTCTTCATACAATTCCATAACGCTGGGCAAGTCTGAAGAACGACGAGGCTCCTTCACTACCACCTGAACTGCTAAAATGTTCAAAACCATGTTGGAGCAAAGAAATCAGTTAGTCGTACTTTTCGATTTTGTAGCTGCCGAAGTGCCGATGTAACTTCCATGTGTTCAAAAAGCAGATTCAATACACGATAGCTAGGCAGGAAGCAGAGAACCCCTTTTGGCACCGCAGTTGAGATACGACTAAATACTTCACCGTGTAAGTGGAGAAGTTAACGGTAATAGCAAAGGTTTCACCACTAAGTATGGAATCATTTTAACCGGTACATACCAAACTGTTGATGCCAATTCACTAATAAACCTGCTGTTGACGTCTTTTACGTTTTGGTAAGTTGCACACAGCTTGTGACCGTTTACGCCCTGGAATGCTTTGGTCTATAAATGTTTCCGTGATACCGGGAGGAACTGTGAAAGGACACAAACCACGGAGAGGACAGAGGCGAAAATTTGCTCAGCGGGAATAACTTGATCTCCTTCCATCTGAAAATGATATGGAATAACTTCTCAGCGTAACAATTGTATTTATAGCCTTTTTAGATAATCGAAAGAGCTCAAGGTCTACCACCCCAACTTTTGGTGTTATCATCAAATAAGCCGCACTGTATTGAGGGTAGAGACGACATTCGACATTTCGTGGGCAACTAGAGGCGGTTAGGAAGATCGTTCACGCAAATCAAAAGCACTTATTGAGCAGCTCCATCGGTCAAAGAAGCCTCAGTAGGGAAATTCGAGACAGACGTCGAGGGGGAAAGAGATAGAACCTCCACCTATGACAATCGTGATGGAAATATTGAGTAGGAGTAAGTGCGAGTGAAGGTAAGGATCGTGCCGACCAACTCATTTAGCAGAGACTTCTTTCTAGTATTTCTATTTCTGAGGATCAAAAATGCTCGTTTCGAGAAGACAAAGACAGAAAGCAAAAACAGAGTCAAGGCTTCGATCATTACATTGTAGAAATATTCAATTTGCCCTGCATTTATAAAAATTCCACCTATTCCATACAAAAGCACTGCAGCTGTATCAAAAGCATCTCTGAGCTGCCACTCAACGCCATGTCGAAGAAAAATAAACGGCACAAACCTGCGCATGGAACTTCAGACCCAATTCTGTTTTGAGTGTTTCAGTCGGACATAAAGTGCCAGAAGCGAGAATGACCGAACGACAATCGGAAAACGCACTTGTAAAAGCCTAAATAGATGAGATTGTGTAATAAAAGCAATTATATGATTCTATAAATCTTACCAACTCCGGACTCATGCACCACAAATTTATAGACGTTTTGTATCCAGCTAAAACTGGGTCATGGCCCGAAGGACCCTGCGTGGATGAGAGCCATACGTCAGCACCGTCGATCTGGCTGTAGTTGACATTTCTCGTGCCACCTTGACCATCCCTCCTAGCTTCTCGATGGATAATCGAAGAGCGATTGTTGACACTATTCACGTGCTCGCTGCTTACATTCATCCTATAACAAGGAACTGAGGCTAGGCGGATTTCGGGGTAGGCTAGTTTTTCGAAATCGCATTCGATAAACATTTTGTGAACTCACTTATACATGCTTCTCTTATCCTCGTCTTTGAAATAGCCGACGAAATACAACCACTTCTCGACACAAACTATAGCTGTGGAGCTGAGTTTCATTTCTATCGGACGATTCTCTTCGCCTTCCTTATTTGAGCAAAGACTGCCGTAGGCACGCTTAAGTCAAAGGCTCAATATTCCTTCCTACAATCTTTCTAACGAAATATTTGAATCTTTTCCAAAAAAAAACCTGACAAGCAGAATAAATGGAATAGAAAGCAAAAAACCTGACAAGCAGAATAAATGGAATAGAAAGCAATGACATTCATACCTGGACCTTCTCATACCGAGGATTATCTGGATGCAAATGAAATTTCCGCAAATCTACATCGATATACCCGTGATTGCTGAAAAAGATACACTAACACAGAATTTCAGAACAACTGGATGATGCCTCACACAGTCTGCGAGAGATTTCCCATAGTGTCGCTTTTGGCTTTTTCCAACAATTTTGAAGCAGAATCACGAAACCATTTGTATAAGTCATCCATGAATAATGCTAACTGAAACAAATGGATGCGAAGTCGTTTAAAAATCTCTTAGTTCAAGACAAAATTTTTCTACCGTAGTCAAATCTCCTAAGTCTTTCGTATAATTACTTATGTTCATGTTAACAGCTTCCTTCTCCATTCCTTCCACCAAATCAGCACCGGTTGCACATTTTTCAATGAGATTCAAGGTAAGGGTCTCTAAAAAGGAGAAGTTTTAAGAGTTTTAAGAGCAGGTGCGATGCTTCACAGGTGATTACCCTTTTCCTTCACATTTGCCAGAGCATCACTGACTTCTTTCTCATAGAACGTGAAGCTCGCAGCCTCCCGGCAGTTATCCTCAATATTGTGTGCTTCGTCCAATATTACCACGCTGTTCTTCAGATGCACATCGGAGGAATTACGTATCACGGGATCTGATAAGGATTGATTAGGTATCAGTGAAAGACAAGCGAACTATCCAGGAAAGACCAACCTACAAGATAACTAAAAGGGCAAAATATTATGTCCGCGTCTTGAGTAAGTACTCGTGTAGATGAAAAATAAGGGCAGNGGCAGTTATCCTCAATATTGTGTGCTTCGTCCAATATTACCACGCTGTTCTTCAGATGCACATCAGAGGAATTACGTATCACGGGATCTGATAAGGATTGATAAGGTATCGGCTAAAGATGCAGCGAAGCGTTCAGAAGAGACCAACCTACAAGGTAACTGAAAGGGCAAAATATTATGTCCGCGTCTTGAGTAAGTACTCGTGTAGATGAAAAATAAGGGCAGATGGGATTCGGCATGGAAGATAACGTTTCGACTAATTCTTCAATGTCAAACACCACAGAACCCTGAAATAAAAGCCAAAGAACGGAATTCTTCATAAGGAGGCATTGTGAAAAGAAACTAATGCAACAAGTTTTGTTGATTTACCATTTGATCTAGGACGTTTCGTAGAACTCTGGCATTCTCATAACGCAACTTCATAGCGTCCTTGAACCGGCATCCCAACTGAAATTAAAGAGTATTAAAAGAAAGAGCGCATATAGATGGAGAATTATTTTTTTGGATTGATAACTGAAGGGTTTCTTCTTATGATGAGTGATTGCAAGATAGCAGTTAATGATTCGGAGCTGAACGGAGAGATTGCCAATCAACGAGCAGCCCAGCATTCTTGACGAAAATGCTGGCTGTTGAAGAGCGACAGTTTGACCGTATAATCGTGGTTAATAGATTAGTAATATAATAGTTAGTAAGGTTATTATTAGCAATAGTATTAGCATTAGTATTAGTTAGTTAGTATTAGTTCATAGCAAGTATCCAACTCTAAGAAAGCTCATACTCCGTTGCGGCAAATAAGCGCAAATCACATAATGATTGGAAATATGAGTACTGGATTTTTAGGTCTGTGAGGTCTCATCACATGCGAGGAATTTCCACAAACGCACAACAAAACCTTGCCCTTCAGAAATTGAAAAGTCAATTGGGCAATAAAGAATTCAAGAGCCCACCAAGCTACATGCCTTTATTCAGAAATGGTTATTCTATTCTAGTAAGCAAATCTTACACCGCCTGTAGAAATGAGCTCCTTACAGTAGCCGGATACATCTGCCGAATTGCGAGCGGCCTGATTGATGCACGACTGCTCTCGACTTGCTAATATCGTGTGACTAGAAATGTATGTGATAGAGATACAACGCTACTAACTCGCATTCATAGCCCCTCTATATTACGAGAATTCCATCCTATGGCAACCGCTGAAAGATACATGAGAACACAGCAGTCACCATAAAATGTTCCCATATGGGAGGCGGGCAAACTCCTTGACAACCTGTCCAATCTGCTTATGTGTCCTCGTACCATAGTATATACGAGTTCTTCTGAAACAAAAGTAGCTGGATCACCATGGAGACAAGGAACAGTAATTGAAAAAAGCTCACGGTAAACATATGCAGGTTTTCTCAATTTTTGGCGCCGCTAACACATTGCCTGACCCGCTTTTCTGGAATGTTTCACGAACTGTAACAGACGTAGACGCACTTCTTGAGTTTCTGTTTCACTTCTAACAGTCTCACATCTCACAATATCCAAAACATTATCGTAGTCCTTAAAGAAACTAAAAAGCTCACCCCATTCTGTTGTATCCGAGGACTATAAGCAAAGTCGGAGAAAAACTCATCGTCATCTAAAGTGAGAATAACATAGTTGCTTAATGATCAATTCGGCAATTCAACAAGGAGCCACCTACATGGTAGTGAGCTTTTCATGCTAAGCGTGTCCGGTTCGATCTGGAAAGAGCGGTTACAACTATACTACTTACTATTCTTAACAACTGAATCGGTTTCGCAACTACTTTTTACCTCAATGACTTCGGATTTGACATTCTCATCACGTGACTGCCCAGCCATAGGCTCCTCATCCACTGCAAATAAATCTTAATTGGAAAGGGTGACCAAACTGCATACCTGAGTACATGTTTCAAAAACTTAGGTCATCTCATTCGAACGTTCGCAAGCTTTCTTTTCTTGAGTAAAACGAGTAGCAACAGAGACTGGAAGCTAATATTCTGCTGTTAATTGCACGCCCCAACGTTGTCAGTCCCAGCGTGCCAATCCCAGCGTTCAAGGGGCGTCTAGATACCAAGCAAATTCTCTTCCTCACCAAATACGGATAAGATGATGTTTCCGTGTTTTCACATCGTTCAGTTGTAATTACGACTGTCGCCAGCAGGTAACAGTTGACTCAAACAGTTGAGGTTCCACAGCTCTGGGTAGTGAGTAAAGGCAGTTTTAGTCTCACAAGGTTGGCAATTTAAGAACAAAACTTCAGTCTCAGGGACTCGAACCCGTACTGTCCTTCCCGGGACTTAAGAAGGCGAGGGCAAGCGGGGTCTCGGTAGTGTAAGGGATAAAAGCACGGTCCCGGGTCCCAAGTACGGGATCGAGTCCCGTCCGAGACTGAAGTTTTGTCCATAAATCGCCAACCTTGTGGGACTTTCGGAACGCGTACTGTGGCGATATAAGAACAGTTAACAAAACACCAAGTTTGATTTAGGTTTCGATATTTCTTTTCCGATATTCCTTAATGGTCCAGCCTCTGCGATATTCCATTTGCTATACGCAGATGAAATGTCGTAGAGACTGGTCTATTGTTCATTGGAACTTTTCCTGTGTCCGTTCTTCCTTCTTTGAACACTGACAACAGTTTTCGACATTACAATCGTAGAACGCCGTGCCTTGCAAATATCGACTCAGCCTTCAATAAATTTAAGCGGTGGGCTTCCTTTTTACTACTCCCAATATGGAAACTCATGTTGATTCGGCCACTTATGTTTATTTTACCTTTGAATTGTTTCAACTGCACCCATGATGACGAGACTAGGCAGTGAAGTAACCATCTACTAGCTTCCGATCAAAACAGTGTCGATGGAGAGATCATCCATCTTTTTCCCACCTCACCCTTCCAATTTCTGCTACAGTGTCGATGAAATGATCATTCATCTTTTTCCCACCACATCTTCCAATTTCTGCTCCATTTCGATCGAATGAGGTGACCTAATAGTTAAAGAATGGGACTGAAAATACACGAATTCATCACTAGCAAAAAATGTACAAACTCGAGTCGTTCGTTTCACTACTGCATCCACTGTGTATCGGACACGATATTCTCAACTCGTGCCTCTTCTTTTTGTAGTTGTCCAGCCAAGCACAACTTGCTGCCAGGAGCGCCAATGTTTTTCCTAAGTTAAGTAGGCTAAAGAGTTGGGGACCAAGAAAATAGAAGGGGATATCTCTCATTTGACTGGAAACGCTTATCAATAGAAACCAGTTTAGCGGTATGCCAAAACTTGAAGTTTTTGGTTACTTTGATTCAGAAAAAAAGGTGATTAACACAAGATTCATACCACTTCCTGTAGGGCTTTCAGCTAAGAAGTTGAGCCTCTTCGCGATTGATGATATCATGCGCACCATCATGAGCTTTTGAGATGGATACGGTTTTAATCCAACAGGTAAACGCACTTCTATACCACACATCGGCATGCTATCGTAATGTGAGTTGTCGACGAATACTTTCTCACTGCAATAAAATAACCTCTCAAGGCTCCAGGAGAAGTACTGTATGGTTTACCGTTTTCGTTTCCTAGGTTTAAATATTGTAGCTATGTTAGCCGAACGCGATGCTGTGACACCGTAAGCTTCGAAATCTTCATCGGTGTTACTTTCAATCCAAGGATCTCCTCAAAATGTGGATATTGAACAACAGGTAAAACATAGCACTTCTTCACATTCGAAAACTCCTCTGAAAAACTTCAAATGGTCAGTGAAAGTACACTTGGCTGCCTTCGAATCCAGCATGTGCTTTGAGGTTCTTCAGTAATGCGATCGAAAATCGCTATTACAATTAGCTTTTCGAGACACTGCCAGTTAAGCGGTGAGTTATCAACTCCCCACCCAGAGAATGAATTTGTAACTGAAATGCTGCGACTCCCCCAAACCGAAAGGGGTGTGGTGCCTTAGAAACGAAATGGTCGCGTCGCGGTAAGAGGGGCGTCGCGCGTGAAGGAGTGTAGCAGGGTGCAGCAGTAGGTAAGAAATGCAACAACAAAAGTTAATAGTAGAATTATGCATAAAATAATGGTCGCATATCGATTGAGCTGTATGAAGAACGCTAGAGCTGTAAAAACGGCGAATGAGTGGCTCGCGACAACCGCGTGCGGCGAATCGATTACCCAAAATCGTTCCTAACGCCCGTCTCCCAACCGAAAGAGCTGTATATTCAGCACAGTGTCAATTACTACAACAAATAACACAAAGTAAATTGAATGTTAAAAATGGATCACGTACTGGTTCTCCTTCTATTTCGACCCCTACCACCGTGCCTCTGTGTCGGAGTGTAGTCAAAGTTATCCATAAATCTGGAAAAGATACATAGAATTCACATGAAATACAGTTTTGGTAAATAGCGAATAGTCTAAGGTCTCTCTGAGAAAAGACAGATCGAAGAAATGGTACCAACAATGATACTAGTGCTTTCACAGGAGATCATTGAGATGATTGTGCTGAGAACATTTAGGTTGGATGCAGACGTTGCAGTTCGACGTCATTCGGAGCTATGGGTAGCCATGCCAAGCAAGAATAGAAATTATCCGTACTCAGCTGAATCTCGGGAAATAAGCTTCTTGTCCCCCTCTATCTCCACCTGCTCTACGAAGCTTCCCAAACACACGTGCCCCCCGCCGGTCTTCCTAATACTGATTGGATAATTACTTAATTACCAAGTTTGCGCTTCTTTGCCTCTCCAACTATGCGGAAGCTATGGAGGAGATCTAGAGGACGTCCAATTTCATATAATGAGTGTTGAATAAATAAAAAAGACCCAGCTGTGCAAATATATGATCATTAAAGCGGACCGCCGACATGCTGGACCTAACTGGCGGAATTTAATTGTCATGCGATTTTAGGCCGGGTGCCAAATTAGAAACCTCTCAAGTACGAAGTACTAACGCTATGACTCTCCTCATCTCATAAAGAAGGTGACTTCAGATTATTTTCTTCATCAATGCTTTCCCCATTTGGGAATGCTCGAAAGACGGTAAACTGCAACTGCCCTAAAGGTTGGGAGTGCTCGTATCCAAATGAGCTTGACGTGGAAAAAGGCTCCTAACTCAGCTGATGGAGTTTCAGACAGCGTGATATGAGAGAAATTTTTTAGAAAGACGGTAGGAAACTCAATAACAGCAGCATAACCCTTGCCAGGCACGACCAAGCAAGTATAACACTATGGAAACGACATTATCCTTTGGAAGACATCTCACCTACTTGAAAACAGCAAAAACTCATGGGAACATGCAGACGGTGACGAAATCCAAGTTCGAATTAAAGTCTCGCGCTTGGCGGAGAAAAGTGTCGCGCGCGACGTTAGNTTGGTTCAGCTTCATTACGCTGACGTGTAACACCGCCCGATCGCCTTCCTGACTACTTTGTTTCTTTTTGAAGCTTTTTGCAAAGGTTTGATGTCTTCTGGAAGGCTACTATTCGATAATTTCAATTGTGTTTTCTTCATGACAAAAAGTGAAAATTGATACTTTTTTGACAGCGTTGCACAAAAAAAACCATAAACTGGTTGTTTCTTTGGTAATCCAAGGAATACAAGGATTACTGAATGGGTAAAACAGCATTCAGGCGGTTCATATCGGAATAGCGCTTCCAAAGCCAATAGAATATTTCTTGATCAGAACCGAGATTATCGGATATTCTCTAGTAACGACAATCCAAAGTAGAGCAGTCACCAATATTGTTTGGAATTAGCTCCCATTCTCTCGCATTTCTTTCATTTGATTTCCTTTGTTTCATTTACTCCATGATTGGTTAAAGGGTGGAGTCTTTTGGCGTTAATCGATCCTGTCTGAGGGATGCGCCTCGCCTTCGACTTCCATTCAGAATTGTAGTGGCATAATGAAACAGAAACGAATATTCAGTATGGCACTCGGCCCTTACAGTGATCCGGTACGGCACGACCGAGTTTACTGTAAGAGCCGAGTGCCAGTACTGAATTTTCTTTTTTTGTCATAACAGAGTGAATGTGTATTTGGCCTATAGAATGACTTGCGATGGGCAGCTGATGTACATCACAGCGCTTTTACTCTCCCAGACGAGCCTGGTACAGAGTAAACGACCCTGGAGGGATGAAGGTATGGTTGGCCTAGGCGGATATCGATCCGGGATTGGAACCCGTGACCGTACGTGTAAAGTTGTTCACCACTTGCCACTACACCACTACACCACCTATGCTCCATGATTAGTTAGTTTGCACTATTCCTTTGTTTCTTGCAACATTCCGCCACTCAATCAAAGCAGGTGATTACGGCGGGGTAGCCTCTGGCGCTGTAGTTTTGTGAGCGTTACGACGGCTCGTTTCCCCTCCTTCACTATCTTTACGTACTACTATACGCATGCAAGTTGTTCCAGCAGCTTTCCTATATCGTTCAACATCTGCCGAGCACTGACACAAATCGACTCTGGATCTTTCGATCTTAGTGTGTGTAGCTATTCGTTAGCAAAGAGCGGCGATAAATCGATAGATGCATGATTTCTAAACTGGCTTCGAACATCACTTCACCGGAACAGTTCGCCGTTGTTTTTCTGTATCTGGCAATGTATCATTGGGTTTACTGGCCATGTAGAGGACTAACGAGATTTCAGGCGTGTTTTCATCAAATATCCAATTTTCAAACCGTACAATTGTTTTTTACTCAACACGCTCTTTCGAAATGGAGCAGTATTGGCATGGAAACCCTTAAATGAGGGCTGCAGGCGCTCTTATTGTTTTTGGTTACCCTTTCAGAAAACAGTCGGTAAGACGCCTCATTTGAGCTAATATTATGGCCATTCTGTGCTCTTATTTCAGTAGAAGGACTCAAGGAACTTACATTGCATTATGGGAAATAAATGATTCATTTAAGAGAAAACCTTTTAAGGGCTAGAAAGTACTTTGGTAGTGGTGCTTTTCTAATAGGGGAGAGACGGATTAGCTTTGGTGCCTCAAATAAATACAATCCCTGGGTTTTATTCAGCGTCGTGTGACAGATCGGAATGCACAGCTCACCTATTTTCTCTTTTCATCGAATTTTTTTCTCGGCCAGCTGTGTTTGTCTGGTCAGTGATAACCGTCTAGGCCTATTCATTCATTGTTTGATCAGTGCCAACGTCATAACCCTGGAAAAACTTCCAATAGAACTTTTAATAAATACCCTAGCTATTTCGATAGGCTGTTAAATAGAACGTTCATGAATGCGAAGCTCAAACTCGGTACCTATAAATCTTAAAGAAAGCTCCCCTTCAAAATTCGTTAGGTGAGAGCGTGCGAGTTGAGTGCTCTTCAGAAGAGGTTTTTTTTGCGTTTTCCTGTCATCTCTAGTAGAAGGCAGCATTATCTAACATCGTCATCGCTATGCTCCCCAACAATCTTCAGAAGAAAGTTCTCTCAAGTTCCAAACCTGCATTCTTTTCGACTTTATCTCAAGTTATGAGAACGTCACAAAGTTTAGTAGCGAATGTTGTCGTTGTCTTCCTTTTTCCCGGGTTCCAGCATCGTTCCACTCAGTGACCCAAATTCTTCAAGGGTGCTCAAGAGTTAAGAAGTAAGGTCAATGTTGATAAGTCAGTAGCCAGCAACAATTCACCACTGTTATATTGAAACTATCGTATCAAATATTAGACCAATCGTTACCAAAAAGCGTCCCACCTTTCTTTACAGTAGTTAGCTTTGCCTTGAACTGTGATCGCTATGACTTGTTTCCCATACTGCAATTTCAATCTTCATCAGGCTGTCATGTTTACCTAGATGCCCATCCGAAGCTCGGTGGACGGGCAGTAGGATCGGTTTTGTGTAATCGATTCGCCGCACGCGGCATTCTCCCTTCGGTGGTTGGAACTTCTCTCTTGTTAGGGCTTACACAGGCCATCTGTCTTCGAGTTAAAATACGATCTCACTATAAGACAGTAGACCTACAACAGCTCTAACAGGGTCTTAAGCATCACTAGTTGTCAGTACGAAATTTAGTCGGAGCGCAAAATGCATCGGAGGGTACCACTCTGCTTAAATACCAGTTTCTGTAATCCCACTGTTAGGTTTGGGTAGATATACCTATCTAAAGGCCTCAGCTTTATGACTAGAGCAGGTTTTGTAGTAAAAAGTGTTCCCAAATTATGAGCGCCTGGATGCAAGGGTTCGGTTTTCCCAAAGCGGTTGCACGAAGATCGGCATAGTCAGCTGTGGGAGCGCATCGATGCGACACTCCTACCAGACGTAAGTGGAGTGCGAAACAGGTTTGACTTTTGGAATCGAAACTTGTTCCTGATCATTCCGGGAAAATGGTCACAATCTCTAAGCCTCAGAAAGGGATTTTCATTAAAGTGTGCTCTTTAATCCGAATCGCTCTGCGAAGGATTCATCATATCTCCTGCTCATCACCAAACTTCCGTCTGGCTACCCTGAGTGAACTATTGCCTTTGAGAACCTAACATTATCACACCATACAGCATACACCTTCAAATATACGAGCAGGTGACTGGAAGTTCTAGAACAATCATAGCAGCGATTTTCTCTTATCAATACTTGAGTTGCGTCAGCTAGTGGGCTTGCACTCCAACAGATGGTCAAAAAAAGTCTTTTCAAGGCACTCTCCTTTCATGGCCGTGGTTGGAGATATGACGTGTCCGAACAATACGTCATTATTTTCGGATTTGAATTATTTTTCCTTCATTTTCAAACTTGAACAAATTCGTGTACCACTTCTACATTCTATGGTATCCCCGTTACTTGTGGCCTAGTAAACATGACTCGATTTGGTGGTTTTTTCCACGCTGCGGCTGCTCCGAATCAAAGTAACATCCAGGGGCTAAATTATTAATTTAAATCGACAGATGTTTGTTTTCAGGTGCTGCCTATCTAAGAAAAAGAGCCTCTCTGAAAGCAAAGTAGGACTTGAGACTAAAACAGTCTTGCGGGTTGTGAATTACTTCATCTAATTGGTTTTTCTAAGATATGAAACAAAAACATTAGATAATGAGTGGAACTCCTCCTAATTTTAACACACTTGAGCAGGGTTTTGACCGTTCTGACTCCAAGTCATGAAGTTTCCCAGATGGCGACTTATATCGTATTCGCCGTGGCAGGAAAAGCTGGCAGTCTGTTGGGGCAAGGTCTGCATCGTGGGTCTTACCCTCTGAATTCGGGTAGCTTCAACTGGGTCACCCTTACAGTCGCTGAACGGTCGTTCTCATGCTGAAGGCGGCTCATTACATGATTCAGGAGCTCGCTACAGAACTGGGCGAAGCAATCTATCCAGCTTTATGAAATCCTGCCGCAGAGATACGTTGGGCGGCAATACTTCCGGATCATCCTTGTAATGGATGCCTTTGAAAATTCACTCACTTATAGCCTTGGATATAGTGTAAATGTAAATATAATGGTAACCATTTTCCAAATAATTTCTGTTTCCATTATTTCTTTTTCACTCGAGAAACGATCCAACGATGAGATCAGGGCTGTGACCTTCGACAGTGCATTCTACAGTGTGGGAAGAAACATCCTCGTCCATCATCTCATAAAACGCATTTATTCTCTTTGTACAATTCCCTTGGATTTGTTCGAGTTTGCTTAGTGCTCTCACATGCACAGCGCCACCGTATCCCTTGTGCGACGTGTACTAAGCGTATAGGCGATAGAACGTGGTGCCATTGGAGGCATTCACTCTCCGTTGCTTTCATTGAACGGTGCTTCTTTCAGAACACCATCTCTCGAAATGGGTGACGATCCATGCGAGTGTCTTTTCAATCATGAGGCGGCTATGAGACGACTGTTATCATTGGTGAGTGATTTCACTTCTTTTTGGGCGCCATCTTGGAGGAATAGCCTTTTACTTTACGCTTCTGGGTTACTTGTTCAGTGCTGTCTTTGGAAGCTCGCTTAAGAATTGAGCTGTATTGACTGCTTATAACACGTGTGCATCAAAATTTACCCGAAGAACAGGGAAAAAAGCTTTGACAGGGAAAAAGCTTTGAATATTCATGACGTTTCCGTTCAATATCTGGTGTTCTTTGCTAACTTGGCGATGCATGCACACGACACCTATTCGAAAGCCTTTGTGCTCGTAGGTACATGTATTTCCACAAAGACGTAAGTGCAAAGGCGAACTCAGCAGCGAATATAGAATAGTCGTGGGAGTTCTGACTTTCAATAAAGAGTTGTTTGCTAGCTGCCTGGTTTGATCACAGGTATCCAACCGGTTTCTATCCTTGGGAAAAACAAAGCTGGCGTTTATCTTATCATTGATATAACACGCGTGTTGGAATGGAATGGATCGATAGGGTTTTGGTAATCAATAGAGTTCAGAGTAGTAATTATCAGTGAAATTTCTCATGAGACTAGCTACCGGGGAAGCTCTTTCGTCTTTCGCTATAGTTTCGATCTTGCGGATTTGTCGCAAGCCACGTTTTTTCTCTAGCTGCAATCATAAACAAAAGTGTTTATCGACCAGGTATCGTGTGGTTGTGCGGCAGCTAGTAGACCTGGATTCGATCCCAATTTATAAAAATCTTTACCCGGTCCTTTGAGATGGAGAGACGTCTTCGTGTCGTTAACTGGAAAAAAGTCCTCTGTTGTGGTGCACATACCGGAATAATTGCATGGCATGCGATCACTCATGTATGAGAATTGTCAGTAGATGATGAGTATTCAGTAAACAATGTTTATAGATATACTTTGAAACGGAGTATTGCTACAGTACTACATACCATTTACAGTTACGCGACACCCAGGACTACTGTACAGATTCGGAGTGCTTGACTGATGGTGGACCAACGGCAATTGCGAGCAATTCGATATTGCTCTGGACGATGCTGTGGGGCTTCCTGGCTTTAGTACTGTTCTTTATGCGCCCAAATTCTATGCGAGGAAATTCGAATAGGAACGAGAAACCTGGGCCAAGCAACGATCGCGTGAGTAGTTGAATTAATTCATATTGATACGGTGCGACTACCGGCGACCTTACCTGAAGAGGTTTGTATGTTTATATTTCAGAATAATCAACCACCACCGCCTGCAATCATGTAAACACACATACCATGAAACATTCTTGGAAGTTCCCCTTTTACAGACATTCGCGCAGTGTACACACATTGTAAATATCGAAATAATGTCTTCCGTGATGCCTTCTGTATTCTTCTGTATCTTGTGGGATAACATATACTTTTTCTTTTCTTTTTTTTTCCATAATGCATACTGGTTTCACGTTGCCGTCCGTGATCGTGTTGTCGTATTGATTACGCGCATCTAGGCTTGTAATTGGTTGCAGTATGTTCTCCAATTTTTGCCCTTTAATTACATAGCACACTATCGCTTTTTCACATAATATATTTAGACTTCGAGTCCATTTTATCTGTAGTTGGGATCCAGTTCCTCATTTTCGTATACCGGCTAGTCTAGTTACGAATGTGATTCGCTAGATATATTTTCTATTCCCTTTCTCCTGTAATAAACTTCTATCTGGTACAATAAATTTTCATGGGTGGACAGAATTTATGCTTTTATATAAGTACATATACACAAAAAACACATCATTTTAATATATTATGAGGTAAATATAAGAGAAATGGAACAAGCACAGCCGTTACCCGCAATAATTGTTAGTGGGACGCCATAGATTAATTACGTCCTACGTCTTTCGAATAAGAATGAGCGTAGAGTTGCCCCACTTCCACAATGATTCCGAAGGAAATCTTTTGACAATGCACTTAACAATTACATGAAATAAGGTGTTACTACTTTGTCGGGGATTTCTCGACGGTCTTGCGGTACAGCGGTAAAGTATTTCACATCTTTTAAACCGTCTTGAGCGATCGAAAGTACTGCGGCCACATTACCGCAGCGATAGCAGTAGTTAGGCGCTGAAAATGAATTTCGTTGATTAATGTAGGTGTGTCATCCCCTTCATTGTTGACGGAATAGCTGACTTCAGTGAGCGTTCTATGGCGTACCATTCTATTCCCGGCTATATACCCAACACTAGTTTTCAAAAGCAGCCCACCTATAATAATTTGAAATAAACGTTCAAATGGACTTTCAACAGTCCAAACCGATCTCTCACCATTAGGGAATTCTTTTGCGTGAAAATGTCCCAAAGACCATGTCAAGATCATTCCAGCGTGACAATTCCAAAATATCTAATTCTTTCTCATTCGCATTCAAGTGTTTCCCTTTAGCGAGCTACCTATTCTATACGTTATTTAGCATCTACAAGCCGATCACGGTCTAAGGCTCAGTACTTGACCATATAACACAAAACAGAACTAATTGGTAAGCGATATTAAAGATCACGGAGACATACCAGACCACACGGTGCACAACTTCTCATTGAACAAGTACCGGAAGCCTTCGTCAACAAGTTGATGAGATCGACATATGAGCTCAAGGCCGTTGGTGTGTAAGAATTTCCTAGCAACTGTACCACCGAATATCTGCAAAATATCCATTGCGCTCTCTGCGGCAAAATACGTATATTACTGAAATGAACGATTGAATGGCTCCACACTACGCAAGTTTCAATGTGATGAAACGTTGAAAAAGATCAGGATAATTGAGGCGCTTAAGATTTCAGTCAAGAAGCAGGTATGGCAAGAAAAAAATGCCAAAGAAGTACTATACGTAGTTCAAAGTCAAAAAAGGTTCACCCATCCAGCTCCTCTTTGACTTATGACCCAGTCTTCCTCATTTTCATCTGGATCTGACCACATGAGATCACACAAAGGACCCTAAAAGGATAAAATAAATAGAGGCATACCGGTAGTAGCTTTGCTGAATTACCGCAAGACCTACTTTTGTTGGGAGTTCCACAGCTCGATTCAAATTGAGCATTTTATCAATCGATTTGATTTCTGGAGAGAGACCTCCATGAACGCACAAAATCGAATCGTCGATCAAAGCACCTACAGGCAAAACGTCGAATACCTGGAAGAGGAAGAAGCGGTGTTAAAACAAGAATAACATTATAGTGCACCTATTATCTGATGTTCACAGAAATTATTCCGAGAAAGAATACCCTTAGCAATGTTACTTCAAAAACTATGTTAGGGAGTTGGAGGTTCTCTCGTGAGTTCTAGTGAAATCTCAATCCGTGGATAGTGGATCAAAAAATAGTTGAAGGACATACCTTACAGCACCATTTGTAAACTACACTATGACCATACTTTTGCTGGCATTCATCATAGAAACCATAAACAGAAGATATCTTCCGAGATTCGTGATTGCCGCGTAACAGCGTCATGCGATCAGGATATCTAAAAATATCTAAAATATCAGTTGCAGCACAGGTACTAAATTCGGAAAACAATCTCTAGCATTTTAGCATTTTTCGCATCTTAAGGGCGAAGTCAAGTCATGCCACCTCCCATCAGCATTCCCATATTGCCTCCTTCATTCCTAGCAAATTTGAATGCCTCAGGTCCAAACTGCCAATTTTTACGCACGCCCCGCTTGGAGCCGAGTCCTGCCAATTACCATTGGTGTTTCCATTCTGCCGATCCTGTCCCCTGTACCCCTAGTAAATTGGAACGCTCTAGGTGCACGGAACAGGTGTTATGAATTTCCGGTAAGAACACACCACATACACCCACAAAAACATACGTACACACACAAACACACCAACAGACACACATAGCCGATACATAAGTAGGATTTAAGAGGTTGGTAGGCTGGCAAAAAAAGGAATGCTTCAACGCAGGAGGTGAAGCTACATAAGAACTGCATGCATTTTCACAGTGCAACAAACCTCAAAACCTACTTCAACAGCAGAGCGAAGAGGAGCGTTGCAGTTTCCAAGCTATAATATCCTCGGTCCACGTAATCGCCCATGAAAACATATTTTGTATTTGGCACATCCCCACCTAAACAGAGAGGTATAGAAAGGCAGAAGGTGGATAATGAGAGCTCAGTTACTAATTTCGGGGGCTTACCAGTGCGAAAAAGTTCCAGTAAGTCATAAAACTGTCCATGGATGTCTCCGCATATTGTTACTGGAGTCTCAACAGGAACCACGTTCGGGTGTCGTATGAGACGATCAATGAGGCTAAAATGGGAGAGAAATGTCAAATACAGACTAAGACTAGCTTAAGAACGTATACGGTAGAATAACGAACGCAAGTCAGGTAAAGTTAGCACGATTTGAATTTTACCAATGAAAGCATGATCTCAACAACAACAGCTGTCCTAACCAGTAAGCAGCGGCTTAGCCTGACCACACCTCTACCTCTGACTCTTTAATACATTACAGTCGGATCGCAATGCTGAGTATGCGGCTTCCACCTTTACGTGTGGAAACTAGCCTGCCGCCGACACCCCTTTGAAATCTGTTCGTGCGCGCATCGGCTGCCATGAGCTCCTGCTCAGATGCTGTTTACAGGTGCAAGAATCTTGATTGATTCCCGCTTGTTCTATCACTTGACGTATAAGTTCCCATTCTGCCGCCTGTTCTTGTAAAAAAGGCTTGAAGAGGCTTTAGGCCTGAGGGAAAAATTCGGTGCATATCCAGCTATAGGCGGAGCCCAATACTGCGACGTGCCATCGGTGTTCCCATCCCGCCAACTGCACCCTACAAATCTGAATTCCAGGCGCAACGGAAGATTTTTGATGCATGCCCATGGCGAAGTGAAGTTTTGCCACCTGTACTCCTTCCAACTTTGAAAAGTCCAGGTCCAAGAGAGAGGGAGTTATAAATTTCTGGTCAGACACACGCAAACACACACTCACAGAGAAGAACCAAAAAACGCGTATAGCAACTTATTTACACCAGGATAAGTGTATAGTGGAATACGAATTCAGCTAGGATTGAATGCGAATCCAGCTGGGCGGATTTCTCAAAATATTCTTACCAAGCTAATTCTTACCAATTGCAAAGGGAGATCATGTCTTCTTCAGGCAAATATTTGCATTCTTTTGCTAGTGCAATCCATTCGTCAACATCAACAGCGCGTTTCCTTAAGATAGAATTTGGAAGCAATCATTGAAATTTGAAAACACAAAAAGTTGCAACTCACACGCTACTTCGACAACATGTATTATCCTCATTTAGAATATCTCTGATTTCGTCCGGTACATCGGAGTCAGATGGCATCACCGTGAACGTCGTGTTCATGTCTACGTCATGCATCCGGATTTAAGCGGCTCCACAGTAAAATGGGATACTGAACAGCTAGTGATGAACTCTAAATTTTAGAATCCCTTAGAACCGTTCCCATACTTTCACTTCACCCTAAAAAACCGTTTCCATTCTTTCATTTCACTCTAGAGAAAAAAAACCAAAGGGAAAGACAATAAACCGAATGTAACGGTACTGTTAGAACACATAAAACCAGAATGGCAAAATTCATTTTAAACTCAAAAGAAAACAACAACAAAACAACGATATTCTATAGATCTAATAATTACATGGGTTCAAGAACAAACTGACAAAAAAATGTAAAAAAAACTAGAATTCAAGCCGCTAAACGAAGTGATGAGACCAAAGCCTATTCTCTGTCAAAGACACATTTTAAACATATCCAATTTTAACTTCAAAAGCTAACTTTTCTGCTTCCTCCAAGTGTCTCTCATTTTCAATATTGCCGGAAACAGACACGCCAGAAGTTTTGAGCACTTCACTTTCATAGCAAGTATACAAATAAATCGGTCTTTCAAAACGTTCTACAGTTCCAGTCGAATCAGAAACAACAACGGAGACATAATAGATCACATTTAATGCACCCTTTTTAACTATCCACAACGACTCCAACCTGCGCAGCTCGAACTGGTCTCTCTTTGAGGGAGTATCCAACCTTTGAGACATGCATCACATGGCCTGGCTCAACCTTCGTGTCCTAGGAATTTGTGTATGAGTAGAAATGTTACTTGGATAGTCTAAGAGATTTAGAGAAAATTACCTTGCCAGCAGGGACTTGGAACACAGCTTCATGGAAGTTGGGATCGAATTTTTCTCCCATAGGGTTGACTTGAACAAGGCCGTGCTTCTTGAACGTTTTCAACAATACAGTCTTGGTCATGACTATGCCCTTATGTAGATCCACGAGGGCTTTGTCACCAGACTCAAGCTGTTCCGGTTTTACGGATTCTACGGCCAAATCGAGAATGTCGGCAACCTAGAGTAATAAGGAATACTGTTAGATAAACAATCCTAGAAAAATCTCGATACCTCTAGCAAGTCCTTGCAGAAACCTTGAATTGCAAACACTTTCGCTTCCTCAGTTTGTTTTATTCCACGATTTCGAACATTTTCGGTCTCAGCTAGAGATCTTTTGTATTTATCCTAAAAAATCGAGAAGACAGGGAATAATCTTAATTTTATTTAATTATACAATCACTGACACATGCTAACACTTGAGAAGTCTTCTGATTTACTACATTCCTTGAATTAGCAAGTTACATACTGGTGTGTCTAATGTTGTTTCGATTTTTTGTTTGATGCACTTGCGTACTGAGTGTATAGGAGTGTAGGTATTTAAATATATGCGTGTATGCTTGTGTATGTGCTGGTGGCGTTGACGGGAAATCCATGACTCCCGTTTACCTTGACCTAGATCGTTCAACATCAAAAGGAATACAGGCGACAGCATGTGAGGAGCGCTGGCTTTTAATGAAGATGCGACAGCTCTTTATAATGGCCGATAAAGAACCCCGGTAGACAAGTTGTACTGGGTCTGTTATGCCCTTCCTGTTGACAGTGGAATCTTTAGTGGGTAATGTGGCGTATAAGGGATCGCAGAGTGTTAGAGCCAGGAACTGATAAGGACTACAAAGGGGAGTCGGAGTACAAGAGCCCCTTGGTACTTTTCTGTTTTCCCGCCGTCTATACTTGCTACTTCATTGGGTGGTTTTGGAAGTGTCCAAATGGCTGGTTATGAATAAGGGAAAATGATAGCAGAATAGAATTACTGTAAGCATAGAATTGCTACTAGCCTACGATCGTCACGATTCAAGATATGCGGTTGCATAATATAGGATCACGTTCTCTTCCTAAACTGCTCGGTTGTGAGGATACTTACGACTTGAAGTGAACTGAAAACCTCCACCAATGGTGTAAACACGAATATGAGAGGGATTACAGAGAGCGTAACCCATAAGTGATATTATCAACAGTCAATGACATTACTGGTACTATTCAAGGCTTCGAGTGACTAACCACGTTGTTCCGAAATGGAAAGGCTGAGTCCGCAATGAAGATAACGAATAAATCTCTGATGAAAGATTATCGTTAAGATCAAGAGCAACGGACTGAGACTATGTAATCATAAGCTAAAGCATGATCACATATTGAGTGCCATTTGAATTGCTGTGTTTATCCCGAACTTCGTGCTAATATAAAATTTAACTGATGTACAAAGTACACGAAAAACAGATTCTCAAGAAAATTAATTAGTGAACAAGGAAACATCACTAATCGTAAGCGAACCATACGAAAAAGTTCAAATCTCGAAAGCAAAACCTACCTGCCATTCTGAACCTTCCTCAATCAAAGCATCATATTCGGTTAATAACGCTTCAAATGCTTCTTTCGGAATAACAAAATCGTCTGAACCCTCTTTAGCGGTTGCTTTCTTTACCGTTTCGAAAAATTCCAATCCTAAACGTAGTGAATTCTATTACAACACAGAAAAAAACGTACATTCGCAAAAACATGTATGCGTTATAAGACTTACCACTTAGCCTTTGCCCGTCTGGCTTCTTGAGTGAAAATTTCGGCGCACCTTCTTGATTTTCTGCATTGTTAGAGGACGTGGAGCTGAACCACGAGGGCATCCGCAAGCTTGATCGGAAGTTAAGAACTGGCCTCAAAAAATTACTTGGGATTGAGTCAATGCAAATACATGGCGAATTTTCGAATATGAATTGTTCCGAAGGAATTTGAAAGTAGTTGTACGTGGAGTAGCCACTATGTTACAAAGGAAAGAAGACAAACCGCGCGTTTAGGAATGAATAGGTGCAACGAAAAAAGTCAGCTGTATGATAAGCATTCTTTTTTTGGATGTGCCACCCATTTTACCCAATTCTCTATCTTGTTTTCAACAACACCGATTAAATCATGCGACGCGCTCGTAATTTACCCTTGCTGTGCCTCAGCCTGCTTTGAACTACTCTTTTTAATCATACTAGGCCATCACATATTTCGGTGCGTTGCTGTAGCACATTTGATAATATAAAAAGTGAAAATTTGTAGATAATATATCTACAAAGACGAGGGAACTTCTTAGCTTCTAATAAATGATGCAAAAAATCCACGCATCTTCTGTAGGCAACTATCGTAATGAATGACGCAACCAACTTCTCAACATCATTACTTCATTCTCAATTTAGTGTATAAATGACGAGACATACCTCGACGAGACAGTACAAGTCGAATAAATACTGGGTAAATTGCTCCTCGAAACAATCCCCACCAGACGCCTGGCCAGCATTCTGAAAGACAGGGACGAGGCGTTTGCAATATAGTGGAAGTCAACATCAAGCACAAAGTAGTTTCACACGGAAGTATGAATAATTTCCTCTCAAAAAACAGCAATCAAAACAAAAAATGATTTCGAGGGGCAGTTTTCATGGGAGAGGCTGGCAAGAAGGACAAGATGAAAAATACCTCCAGTCGCGTTGTGTAATTGCGTACTACTGCTTAATACCGTATCTCCGTAATTAATTGCAATGTAAATGGATTGCTACATGCAGCATGTGGGAAACTCATCTTTCCCCCGCACGAAACTGGGCGAGGTGTTTTTTTACGATGTTCCTGGGGATCTTGTACCTTCATAGTGATCCTACACTGCAGGATAAAACAGCTAATGCCTTCACTAAATAAACACTTACCTTAATTTCTCCAAAGACAATTGGACAGTGTCAGTAAAGCGGTACAAAGAGAAGCAACAGCACGACTGGCAAAGTAGTAGATTACTTGATCGAGTACTTCTCCTGCATGGTTTATGGAGTGGCCGTTGAGCTGAATAGTTGGTGCAGATAAGCTAGAGTAAGAAGCTAGAAAAGATAGCGTGAAAGAACTCGACGTAGTAGTTATAACATGAACAGAAGTTGTCAGAGGGGGACGGTACGAACGTGCGTCCGAGGGTGCGCGCGGCGAATTGCGCGGCAAAGTTCGTGACGATTT